AGGGAGGCTGGGTCTTGGCAGCGGGAGGGCCTCGGAGGTTGTCGGGGCCTTCCCAGCCGGCCCTGGGGGCGCCCCGCGGGCTTGCGGGAGGCCGTTCGCAGAGCCGTGTCTCCCGACAGTCACCGGTGAGGTCCCCGTGACCCCCGGCCGCCACCGACCCCTGACTTCTGTGGCCGCCCGGCGTGCCCTCTCCCACTCCTGCACCCACTGTCTCCTTTCTCCGCCCCGTGGCCTGTGTGGCTGTGGGGGGTGCCCCTCCCTGCCTCTCCGGCCTGCGTGCGCCCCAGGCCTGCCCCCTCCAGCAGTGCGTCTGGGGCTTGGCGAGTTTCTCGTCACGCAGGGACTGGGCCCCCGCTCGGGCCTGAGCAGAGCCCGTCTCCGTGATTCGTCTCTTCCAGGGTCCTCCTAGGTGGCCCTGACCCACTGTATTTCTGAAACTCCCACTTCACCCCCCAACCCCCGAGGCCCTGAAGGGCCACCAGTTAGAGGCACAAGGGGCCCGGGTCATTTCGGGGAGTTGGGGGGGTCATGCCTGGTGGGGCGCAGGGCTTGGTGTCCTGAGATCACCTGCTGGCACGTGCCGGAGAGACTTGGCGCTGGGGCTGGGGCCCCCGAGGCGACCACCTGGCGGCCTGAGTCCCATTCCAGGGGTACAGAGAGGTGGTCTGGGCGGGCACCGGGACCGGCCCGTCCCCTGGAGGGGAGCGGCCTGCAGCGCCCCCGGCCTGCCGGCTCTGCGCTGGGTCACTGGGCCGCCCCGGGAGCAGGGGGTGTGGACTGGGCCCGTGAGTGTGCAAACGCCGGCCCATGACCCCGAGTTTCCTGTCCCAGACGCCTTCTCGGAGCAAGCTGTATCCTACCAGCAGTTCGTGGACAACCCGGCTCTCATCGATGACCCCAACCTGGTGGTGAAGATCGGGAATAAGTGAGTCTGCGGGAGGCGTCGGCTTGTTTCGTGACAGCGTGCGGGCCCAGGCTGAGGGGCCTCGGAGCAGTGCTCGGGGCTGGCTCTGGCGCCGAGGGGCTGTGGGGCTGGCGGGCGGGTCACGCGTCTCTGTGCGCCAGTGGCCGTCCCTGCTGGCCTCGCTGAGCAGCGGAGCGCGGGGTCCGGCAGACCCGCAGGCTGGCCCTGAGGCCTGAGGCTGGTCAGCGGCTGCGCTGGGTGCCTGCCCCGGAAAGCTGTGCTGTCCGGCACCGCCGAGGTGGGCGCGGTGCTTTGCTAGCGTGACTCTCAGCCCGGCGCCAGGCGTGGGCACTTCCGCGCTTCCTGGGCGGCAGGAGGCCCCGGGCGGGGCAGGTGCGTGCCGGCGGGGGCGGATGCCCGACGGGCCGGCTGCCCGGTCGCCTCACGCCCCAGTGCTCGCTCCTTCAGCGTGGCCTGAGGGAGGCCTGGCGGGCACTGGGGGGGGGGGACCGGGGAGAGCTGGGGTGTAGCTGGGGTGTAGGCCGCGGGGTCGAGCTCCTGGGGACCCGCTGGGATTCTGGAGCTCTCCGTGCCTCTCACGGCGCTGCTGAGGTGTCCGGCCTGCTCCTGGGGCTCCAACGCCTTGTCCTCGCCCACCCTCAGGTATTACAACTGGACCACAGCGGCGCCGCTGCTCCTGGCCATGCAGGCCTTCCAGAAACCTCTGCCAAAGGTGAGCGTCAGCACGCGGAAGGCGGGGCGCTGGCGGGGGCGGGGGCTGGAGTCTGACCGTGGAAGCCACGCTGGATACAGCCCGCCCCGGAAGGTCTGGGCCACCCGTGTCCTGCCCCGCCCTCGGGGGCGCTGGCAGGGCTGGGCCTCCCCCTCCGGGTGAGGAGGCAGCGGGGCCACGTGTGGCTGAGTGGGCAGCGGCCTGGCCGCAGGGCGGCAGCACTGGCGCCCGCAGCCAGGGTGCTGCAGGCTCGGGCCTGACGCCGGAAGATGCCGCGGGGGCGAGGGGGGGCGGCGAGAAGGCAGCGGCCCCGCCGTCTCCCGCAGGCCTCCTGCCCGGCCCCCCAGCAGCCCGCGGGCGTGGCGGGGCATCTCGGAGCGGAGCTGCCTGGGATCCGGCTGCCCGGGTCCTCCTGGGTGTGCATGTGTGCGCATGCGTGGGTGCATGTGTGCGCTGTGCACGCGTGGGCACACACGTGGCCTGCGCACCTGTGTCTGAACGGTGCCTGCGTGGGTGCATGTGTGGGTTGTGCACACCTGTCTGGATGTGTGCACACGTGGGCACACAGGTGGTGCACACGTGGCACACAGGTGGCCTGCGCACCTGTGTCTGAACGGTGCCTGCGTGGGTGCGTGTGTGCGCTGTGACGTGTGTCTGGATGTGTGCATGCGTGGGCACACACGTGGCCTGCGCACGTGTGTCTGAACGGTGCCTGTGTGGGTGCATGTGTGCGCTGTGACGTGTGTCTGGACGTGTGCACGCGCGGGCACACACGTGGCCTGTGCACGTGTGTCTGAACGGGGCCTGCGTGGGTGCATGTGTGGGTTGTGCACGCCTGTCTGGATGTGTGCACGCGTGGGCACACAGGTGGTGCACACGTGGCACACAGGTGGCCTGTGCACCTGTGTCTGAACGGTGCCTGCGTGGGTGCATGTGTGCGCTGTGACGTGTGTCTGGACGTGTGCACGCGTGGGCACACACGTGGCCTGCGCACGTGTGTCTGAACGGTGCCTGCGTGTGTGCGTGT